GTTTTGTTTTCTTTGTAGAATCAGCACAACTACTTCCATGCATTTTTGCGAAATAAAACCGCTCCGAGAGAGCTTGGGCCAGAGAAACCGTCCTAAACTTTCTCGGAGCGGCTAGGAACGCCTGGCTACGCAATCTACACAACTCCAATCATGCTTTGCTGCACAAAATGGCGACGCTGCACATTGCATATTCGAAACACCGACGCACGAGTCTGACGTGTAGCTACAATCAATCTCATTACTGTTCTTCACTAGCAAAGACGTAAAGACAACAATAATGTCATTTGCATAAATAAGGTTTGTAAAATTCCCAGGGAGAATTTTAATTATAAACTTTAGATAGATAACGAATTAAACGTTATTGAAATTGTAAAGAAATTCTGGAACTGAATATCTTTGCAAAGAAATAAAAATAATGAAAATAAATACGATATATGCAAATGACTTGTCTTTATGTTTTCGCAACTGAACAACTGAACAACGTCAATGGGGTTGACTGCAACGAAGTTATTTAATGAACTGTGAGACGCAACATGAAAAAATAAGCAACTGAACAACTGAACAACGTCAATGGGTTGACTGCAACGAAGTTATTTAATTAACTATGAGACACAAAATGAAAAAAATAAGATACTGACCTCAAATAAAATAACAAAAGCCAGTTTTAGTGTGAGTAAATGCCAGTAAAACGAGGTTAAAGTCCCTTTACCATCTCTAAAGTCACTATATCTGCAATGAACCAATGGCTGAGTTTTTATTTGATAAACTAAACAGAGTAGTTGAATCGAGGATACTATGCTGTTATAGTTGCCCGTGGAAACTGGATGTTACGGAAAACAAATAGTCGAACGAGAACGCAGTTCTAGGGCATGCGCAACTATAAAGTTTTGAGCAACATCCAGTTTCCAAGAACAAATCACAGGAAAATATCCGAGATTTCAACGGCTCTATTGTTTTTATTATTCAACAACAAAAGGTTTTTGAAGCGGCGAGCGCTATGTACAAATAGTACCTTTCCGTGGCTGGCACACTATGGTGTCACTTGGTTGACTGTCCACCAATCAGAGCGGAGGGAAATTTGTTGCAAATGTCACTGCATAATTCCCGAGGTTTAAACTGATCTATTGTTTTTAATATTTCAACAACAAAATTTTCTGAAGCGGTGATCGCGTCACGTGCTCGACTATCAACCAATATCAATTGTTGTTGAATTATGAATGGCAGACAAAACAAAGAATACTGGACAGTAGTTACCTGCAAGGTTTCGAAGTGGTGTTTGTTGGAGCCCAGGCAAGGCTAAAGTTCAAATATCCTCGCAAAGAATGGTCAGGAGAAATGATCCCCGCGTATAATAATTTGGGTAAAAATTCAGATGTGAAGGCAATCAGGAACGCCTGCAAGAAAATGACCAGTGTCTAGAGTGAAAATAACGTAGATTTTTATTAACAGTTCTGGTTAGTTCTGGAAGGATGGTACTTAGTAATTAGAGCACGAGTCCGACTTCGAGCTAATAGTCCATTTTGGCTGTATCTACCAAACTGTGAGACAAATTTGACAAAAGAACAAAAAAAAAAACCGACTTTTTCTCGACATTATTGCGACAATTTTTTTTTCGCATCGCTTGATTCGATCATGATTAAACATGATCAGATCATAGTTCAGTAGCCAATCAGCATGCTGGATTTGTAATAGCCCATATTAGTTTCATGGATACTTCGACTTGAGAGCGCGTCGAGCTGATTTTACGTAATGTAACGTATACGCAATGCATTGTAGGATATGTTTGGAACAGAACATGGCGGATTTCTGTTGTTGTTGTTGCTGTTTTGTTGTTGTTGTTGTTGTTGTTGTTGTTGTAGTTTTTGTTTTGCATTGACAATCAATTAATGACGTAAAAGATGCAGAAATCTATTGGACAATTGATTCTATAAAGATGATAAAATATACGTACATTGCTTATAACCGCAAGTTTCGCGATGCTCTCCAGAATCGTAAACCAGACTCCAATGTCCTGTGCACGGTCAGCGGTAGATCGTCTTAGATCACACACGAATTTGTCTGCGTCTATTCTTATTTCAAAAATGTTATTGGCCAACGCGAAGAAAGGAGCCAATGGGAAGGCAGCCACAAATAAAGTAATGAAACCAAATTGGATAACTAAAAAAAAGAACATCAATTGTCAAGGGATAAAGTTAAAGTGTTAGTGTGGGTAAGTCTCCATCTCTCTCGGAATGAATAGTCTTCTTCACGGATCCCTGTGCCATCTTGAAAGGTAGCCGTGCCTTTGCGTCGAAGCGAGACGACTGTTGAGCGTGCAATGATATCATTGCACGCTCAACGGTTTCTCAATTTGATGCAAGGCTCGGCTACTTTTCAAGATGGCGCAGGTAACCGTGAAGGAGACTATTCTCTTTTGGTTTTGTCGTTGTAAAAATAACAATGACACTTTTTTTTTGCTTTATTTTGAACAACCCTACTGGATTATATCTTCCGATAGCTGAATAAAAGAAAATAAACAGTATATTTCCTATCATTAACATTTTTCTCCATCAAATGGCGTGCCTGCATGAGAGGACAGTGCTTTTACAGCGGAAATCGTTGCATCGCGACCTCTTTGTTTTGAAGTTTGTTTGGATTTTGTTCTTTCTTTCAATCTGAGGGGCCGAGCTTTTCGAAAACTCGTTCAATTATTGGCTCCGCCCCCAAGTCGCAGAAAAACCTAAATCCCAAGAGTATTTTCTTTGAACATTGAAGTCGCGATGCAACGGTTTCTGCTGTTAACAAATTATATTATTGAATTTAGCAAAGATCATTTACCCATTTCAAGGTATTCCTGAAAGAGGCCTTCATTTTCCAGCAATTCGTAGTCGGCTTCCCAGCGAGGTTTGATGTCGTCGTCTCCTTTTGAGCCTCGTTTTCGTTTTCTAAAATACTGTTTTATCTCTCTTTATTGGATAAAAGAAAGAGACAATGAATAATGAACATGTTTGAGCGGAAGTTCCAAAGAGGCAAGTCACAGTTTTAAGTCTACACTTAATCAAGAAAGCATGGAAAAGAGAAAACTAAGGAAGAAAGGGAAAAAAGGAAGGATGAAAGGAAAGAAATGAAGAATGAACTTTGTTTATCTTAAAACCGACCAAAGTTCATGGCAATTGGTATCGTGTTAGCGTCTCAGAAAATCATTATTTCAGTTTCCCATATCAACAATTGATAGGATATTTTATGAACGAGGATGTCACCAAAGACAACAGTTGCCAATACTGATAAATAGAGGATATTATATTGGCGCGCGGAGATACGGATTTTATCTTCGAGTGAGAGATTTTCAACACGAGAAGATAAAATTCGTATCTCCAAGCGACCATGTAATATTCTGTTYATCATATAATTAAATATGAAARCAARTTATGTCKKAAAATAYMTWTTTTCTTACTTCCACTATATAGAGAAACCTCGAATGTGTTATTTTCACTAGTGAGAATATCAATTTTACGTAATGGAGAAATATAGGTATTTCATAGATAATTATGATAAGCTTATTTATCATATAATTATCTATGAAATACCCATATTTCTCCATTTCATAAGTTATTTTGACGACATAATTTGCTTTCATATACAATTATATGATAAATGGAATGTTACATGGTCGCTTAGAGATACGAATTTTATCTTCTCGTGTTGAAATTCTTTTTGGACACTCGAAGATAAATCCGTATCTCCGTGCTCCCATGTAATATCCTCTATTTAAGATTTTTTGACAGTTCCATGTAGGAAATCACTCAAGACAAATCAGGAAAGGTTCATTTCATCAAGTGTCATGTACCACGGGAAGTAATGCTATTTTATGCAGAGGAATTGAGTTTTAGAGCTCCACTCGATCAAGGTAACGCAGGGTGTGGTTATAACAATGAATAAAAACAGCAGACAAATCCAGTATATCGACTGCATTTGGTTGAGATGTTTTCAACACTCGAAGATAAAATCCGTATCTCCGAGCGCCCATGTAATATCCTCTATATAACCTTCATTGCACATAGGATGGGAAGGTTATCAGGTGGTACGTAGAAACAAGGAAAAAAGCACATCAACAAATGTGTATAAACGAAAAACAACAACAAAACTAATCATACTTACGGTATCAACACTTCTTGTACATTGCCAATAACCTGCTTTCCAATCATGATCACTGCTAATTGTTGAGCTAACTCTATCAGACACCCGCCGGGGCTACACTGTGAGGACAAAAGAGAACAAAATTCAATTCCCAATCTTTTATTTATGTCTTACCAGCAGTGATGGTTTGTTATATAGGACGAGGTAGTGCTTACCACCCAATATTTTCCATGATTTACAATGACAATGATATCATGTGACGTCATACTGATAATTTTTGTATGCAGGGACGCCCCTATGCTCAGTCTCCAGCCGTCGGGATTTCGTGCGCCCGCGATACTCAGGACGCCCCCGTCCATAATATAGCCTCTATTTATTATTCGTAATATGCATTATAGATAGACTTGCTATTAATTGATCTATGAGAACATATATATACCTCTTCGTTTCGTAATCCGAAGGTTTTACCATAATTTCCAGGATACCCCTTAAACCTGTGAAAACAAAAGCATCAATCATTCGAGATGTTTGCAAAGTCTAGCGACTATAATTGCGACCTTAGGTCGACCAAAGGTCGATATTTGCTATTTTCTTTGCTTTTCTTATTACTTACTTTCCCTTGAAGAAAGCAATGTAGAAAATGGATGAATAGAAGTTGACAAATTGGAAGATGAACACCTTAAGCGTTAAATTGTCTTCGTATTCTGTTTGAGTTCGATGCATTTCTAAAAAAATGACAAAAATGGCACTGTTATTGATCCTTCGAATGCTGCAAAGTAAACGGGTTAAACCAGATATAACCGCGTAGCGTGCTATATCACAGTAGCAGCGGAGCTAGAGTTGACTATGTTTTTGTATCACAATAGGATCTCTGCTGAATAAAAGAATATATTACTTGCTTTCGAGGTTAAGGCGCAAAAATAAGATCTCGAAACTGGAGTATTTGTTTTAAGTTTTGCAAGTTTTGTATTTCCTTTTGTGAAATTCCTTGACGCGCCCGCAAAACTTTGGAAAGCACTTGCGCATGTCAAACACCATCCAATGAATTGAGACATAGCATACTCTAATAACGTACCCCAGTGGTTGAGGAGAAGGGCCAGCTTCTCATACACTCTGCTCAGTATCATGATAATGATTAAATTGAGTATGGCTCCAGTGGCCGACACCACCGTGTTGGCGTGGGACTGGAACTCAGGACTTTTGTACAAAGGATGAATAACAAGTAACTTGTAGACAATGACACCGACCATGAATAAAAGTACTAGCGATACCTAACAAAGAAAAATGACGTTATTTCACAGGCATTTCACGGATTATGTGCGATCACTCTAAAAACGTGCAACACTTTCCACTATTTACTACAAAATAGTGTTAATTAAACAAAAGAAAACAATAGAATTAGAATAATTTAGCAGTACTTAGTGGAATTTATGTTGCACAGTTTTAGTGTTTGTACTCTATGACGAGCAACAGCGTATACTTTTCGACACTGGAATACGCAGTATTCAGTACTCAAAGTTTTTCAGTGAAATATCCCTATCACAACAATCTCTTCACCCTCCCCTCCCATACTAAATCTACTCTACTTTTATACATTTTAAGGCTGATTTACACGACACGATTGTCTCGTGCGATTTGTAGTATACGACTTGAATCGCGCAGTGTAAATGCCCCTACGACTTGTCTACAACAGTCGTACGCAACCTACGACTTGTAGTAGGGTTTTGAACCACTGCTTAAAATCCTACGACTTGTAGTAGGAAAATCGTATAGGTACTACAAGTCGTACGCGACAAATCGTACCGTGTAAATCAGCCTTTAAAGTATCATGATATTCCATAACCACTCACCATTCCTATAATAATTGCTATACCCGAATACATTCGAAACGATCGTTTCTCTTGTGGAAAGTAAGGCTCCAATAGTCCAGTGATGGGATTACGTTCGACAGTAGGAGCTAAGGCAGCAAAGGTAGGACGAGGGCGCTCCTAAAATATGCAATAATAAAACAATCTTATGATTATAATTCGTTTACTTTCCTAATCTTGATTGACACTTTTGCAGTCATAAAATGTGAGCTTGCGTGGCCACTCGAGTTTTTACCATTTTAATGGCCCGCGAGCGGGAATAAATTAATACAAAACTTTTAAGTTTTTAAACAATTTCTTTCATCCTAGATTTGAAGGTTTAATTTTCAAATGGCATAAGCTAAGAGGAATATGTTCGTTATGTTCAGTGACGAATTCAGCTTTTTAAAGCTGTTTTAAAAAAACAGCTTTCTTTTTTGATTTAAACATAATAGTGTTTACCTCTTCTTCTTCGAATTCTAATACATCCCAGTTGAAACCAAGAGTTACTTCTTTTCTTTTCCAAAACTCCAGGAAGAATACAGCTGGAAATTATGAAATTATGAACAATTTTAATATTTTGATGAGTGCATTTTGACAAACACAGAACAGAACACCACCTAATACGAACGCGGCAAATCCACGACGAACAAAAGTTGTTTAAGATAGAATTAATAGCTTACCCCAGAAAGAGACGAATATAGCATAAGCTACTGTCATCGGATTATCGAATAAGTACGCATGCTGAAATATGCAAACAACATTGGTTCAAAATCTTGAAGTACCCAGATTATAGAAGGCCCGTTGAAACTTGCGACTTTTACACTGCGCGATAATTGCCACTTTGCTATCGCGCAACTAAAATCGTACGTGCAAACAGCCCTGCGATTCTTGCCGCGAATTTCCAAGAATGCTCGCAACTCAGGCGATGGTCGCGCGACGATCGCTGCCGGCGAGAATCGCTCTACAAAAATCGCAAACGGTCCTGTAGAAGTTACTCGAAAAGAGAATTTATAGTACTTCAGGAGTCTCTGTTTTGCATATCATAATCACCATCATCCGTCAGCTGCAGTGCACGCAGCCACACAACAAAATGTAACTCATTAGTCATTATTTGTAGTCTAACTCGCTCCCAGTTGTTTCGCTATAACGCGCGAAATGCATAAAGTGAAGGCGCAAGGAATAATGCATATAATGATAATTATTAAAAGGCTACTTGGACGAAAATTGCGAAACATTAGAAAAGACTGGAAAACCAAATAGACCTATCCATATGGGTATAATAATCATGAAGCAACAGATTTCAGGAAGATATTGATACAAATCCTTAAGATTTAGACACAAAATGTTGGAGTAGATGACGTCATTTACTCCATCCATTTGCTCTTCCATGTTTTGAATCAAAATTTCTCTAATGCGGGATAATTTTTTCCCATAATTGTTTTTAATAAATGAATAATATATTTGTATTGCTTGAAGTTTTGAAATAAGGCCATTTTCATGCAAGTAGCACTTTAAGCGTGATCATACCTTAGCTCGTGAACAAGCAGTGTGCAGGTCCCATACGTTACAACCGACCTCACAATTAGGACACATAGGGAATGTCCATTTGGGGAATTTACACATGTCCATGCTAGAAAACAAGAACATGCCAGTCAAACACTGGAAAAAATCGCTTGCTTTAAAGGTTGTAAATTTGATGTAAATATGATGCAAGTGTCCAAAATTCTATAAATTTGATGTAAATGATTTACATCAAATTTACAGAATTTTTTGGACACTTACATCATATTTACATTAAATTTACAACCTTTAAAGCGCGCGATTTTTTCCAGTGCAAACAGTTTACATTTAGGTAAATAAAGGAATACGAATCTTAATGTAAAAGGGCTTTTATGTGAAGGTACTCTCTGCCGAAACTAAAACTTGAAAAACCATGAAAAATGTTTTATTTTTCTCGGAACCTGCCTACACACCAAGATAAAAAAGAGGACAAATAACATACTTGACTAAGAACAGTGTCAGTAAAGCCGAAATTAATAGCATATGATACGTGGAATACCATGAAAAGGTCGCGGAAGAATAGACAGGAATGGTTGGATCTTAAATGCCGCCTTAAGTAAGGCAGTTGGTACGTAAGTCCTTACGCAAAAAGTCGCGGAATAGACAGGAGTGGAGGATTCTTAATGCCGTCTTACGTAGGGCAGTAGGTACGTAAATCCTCACGCATGCAGAGAGTCGCGGAATAGACAGGAATTGGGGGTCTTTAATGTTGCCTTACGTGAACATGCAGTAGGTCAGTACGTAAATCCTTACGCATATCACTTACGCTGGTCTGTTGTTCCCGGATTCCATCGTCGCAAAACCAAAAATAAATACAATTAAACCAAGAACAGAAGGCATGATAAGCCATGCGGTGTATTGACCTGAATAATAATGAAAACAGAGAAATTCAACTCATTACTAAAACCACTTGCAAAACAACCAATATAAGACCACATACAGCTATTTAAAAAAGGGTTGTCAGTGAGAACGGTGAATTGCGATTGTCGAAGGGAGACTTGCACGACCGAAAGGAATTATCGTTACAATGTTTTACCAAACCGAAACTTTGACTTCTTGGGTTCACCTTGGGTAGAAATGAGACTACATGGAACCAATGTTTAGCACGGACTATCTTACAGTATAAATCAGTTACCATTTGGAAAGGTTTTGTCAACTTACCAAGCCAGGCGAAATATATAGCAATTTTTTCTCCAAAATAAAATCTGAAACACAATAATTTTATATCAAAGCTCAGTTGATGATCAATAATGTCATCATCTAAGAACAACAAACAAAACAACAACAACAACAACAAAACACACAACATCGTCACCACCGCACAATGTAAGAGAGCAAAGTACATCTCTACAATTGGCTATTCTTAAAATTCCAGTACAGGCGGAAATAGCCTCACATCTTTTTGAAAATTGATTGTTCATTTTGCTGTTTTCTATCCTGAGAATGAGGCTATTCCCGCCTGTACTTACATTTTAAGAATATTCAATAGTGTTAGTATACTGAAAAAAGATTTCAGCGCAGGTATCTCGACGGTGTATGGCAAACGGCATACATTGGCACAAATCATGCTTACCTGATGTGATCAAGAGGTTGATATTTGTACCATTTACCCCATCGAGCCCAGAATTCTTTGAGAACCTTATAACAAATAAAAGAGCATGATGAATAATGATCAGCAAAGTGATTTATGGTCATTTTCCGCCAAAATACATCTAAACATATTCATATAAAGAGGTCTGTGAGCAGAGTGTTTCAGCGGGGCGCTCGTGCGCCGTGCTCATATATGCAAATTTGCTTGGTTGATCTGCTGCTAATTTGATTACACTTTCAAGAGTTTAATGTAGATAAGTTGTTATAGTACCTGTCTCTTATTTAGTTTGATTTCATCGGGTCCATGTGGTCCATGATGGTATGCTCTGGGTAATTCAAACGGTCCCTGTATCCAGAGCAGAGATATCGATATTTTGATTTTTAGATTAAATATTTCTAGATATTTAGCTTTAATCAAATTTTCAACTTCTCTTAGATAGATCAATATGAAGAAATTATAATTTTTTGCGCACATTTTAAAGTGCACATGACACCATTAGAAATTCATTCTCATCCAAAAGAGAAAATACTGCTAAGTTCATCTGTGAAGAAAGAAATTGATTTCAAATTGTGTAAGATTAATTATTTCGTTCGTTTACGTTTCATTAGTTTTTCTGTTTATGTAATGTCCCAAGTGTATTCGTAAGTCAATTTAGTCGTCCGTTCAGTTAGTTAATTTATTCAGTTTGGCGTAATTTCTGTGTGTGGATTTGTTCACGATTTGGTAAGTTTTATGTAATTTTACTTCGTTTTACCGGTCCCCAAATGTAACTTTATGTAGGTAATGTATTTTGTATTTGTTGATTGTAGAACCTTACGCAATTAAAAGAGTCTCAAA